ATAGCAGAATAGAGAATGGGAAGGAATATGGCATATCATTCCAGTACTAAACAACACTATATATACACTTTACAAGACTCTTGCAATATGGTAAATGGAAATTACAAAGATTACGGATACACCGGTTATGTTCTAATTGATATAATTCTAAGAATAGAAAATGAAGAATTATGGAGAATATCAAGCTAAGTATCTCTAATATGCCCCCGCAAGATAGAGTTCCGTGAGAAGAGTCCAATCTTGGTCTTCAATAGTAGAAAGCGCGCAGAGTTTCGTGAGGAGAGCCCAATCTTGGTCTTCAATAGTCGAAAGCCCGCACATGGTACTGGTTTGGTATGTGCATATGCCAGCTGATCTTCCAGGAGACATAAGTGACACGCAGAGCATTGTTCTGAACTTGTTCACGAATGAAATGATAATCCAAGGCAACATGTTTCATGTGTGAATGGATGACAGGGTTTGAGCATAGATCTGTGGCCCCAACATTATTGCAATAAATCACCAGTTATTAAGAGAATGGGATGCCTAGTTCAGAAAGTAAGGAAGTAAGCTAGCGCAATTCAACAACGATGGTGGCAACAAAGTGATATTCAGCTTCAATGAATGAGCGCACAACAGTTCTCTGCTTCTTTGAACTCCAAGAGATGAGATTGTGGCCAAGATAAACTATGTAAGCATTGGTAGATGCGAAGTCATCTTTGTCACCGGCCCAGTCAGCATCAGAGAATTCATGTAGAGATAGTGGAGAATTGCGATGGAGGATAATACCATGACTTGTTGTACCACAAAGGTATTGTAATAGCCGCTTGATGGCGTTCCAGTGGTTATTGGTAGGTCGATGCATGAACTGAGAAAGTTTATTTACCACAAAGGCAATATGTGGCCGTGTAAGTAACAAGTACTGATGATTGTCGACGATAGTTCTGTATTTGGCGAGGTTGGAGAGTGCAGAGCCAGAGTGAAAAGCAAGCGTATGAGTAGTTGCAAGTGGAGTGGCGACCGATTTCACATCAGTTATTTTAGTTTAACAAGTAGATTTATGATATATCGCTGCTGAGACAAAAGTAAGCATTGTGCATGGGAGATGACCTCAACACCAAGGAAGTATGTTAAAATGCCAAGATCTTCAAGAGAAAATCTGTTTGCCAAGAGGGTGATAAATTTATGTACAAGTGTATTATTTTCTCCAGTAATAATTATGTCTTCGACATAGACCAAAAGATAGATCAAAATGCCTCCTATAGTGAGGACAAATAGAGATAGAGATATGTCTACATGAGAGTTGGTGAACCCTGATGCAACAAGAAATTGTTGCAATTCCTGATACCAAGCACGAGGAGCTTGCTTAAGGTCATAGATTGTTTTGCACAACTTGCAAACATGGTGAGGATTGCCCTGATCAATAAAACCCTACGGTTGTGCCATGTAAACATTCTCAGTAAGATTGTCTTGAAGAAGGAATTGTTCACATCCAGTTGTCAGAGAGACCACCTTCAACTTACAGCAAGGTGGACAATAGTGGGTTTGACAACAGGATTAAAGGTATCATGATAGTCCACACCGAGGCGCTGATGAAACCCCCTAGCAACCAAGCGTGCTTTGAACCAATCAATAGAGCCATCAAGTAAGCGTTTAACTCGAAAGATCCATTTACAACCAACCAAGTTCTGAGCTGAATTTGGAGTAACTAGTTCTCATGTACCATTTCGAACTAGGGCATCATACTCTTCTAACATAGCTTGACGCCATTTGTGATCTTTGATGGCCTGAGTAATAGAGGTTTTCAACATTGTAGGTGGTGAGTTGTGCTGCGAGATTGAGTTTTTGAATAGGTTTGTAGATGTTGTTTTCGAATTTGGTAATAATGAGACAATGAGGCTCGAGAGAGGATGGTGGGATGGGTTCCAATGCGGATGAAGTGTTCCCAGGTGGTTCAAGAACTTGCGTGGAGTTGTGTGGGTAAGGAAAGGAAGTTGGGACAGTACGTTGTAGGTTAGGGATCAGGGAAGTGTCCGTGGTGATTAAGGGAACATGAGGTGCATTGATCGACGACATGGGAGTAGCAAGAGTCGAGACCGATGATGGTACGACATGACTATAGGAAGCCACTGAAGATAAGTGTCATTAGTGGGACGAGCAAGATGAGAGTCGAGGGAGGAAAAAGGAAAGATCGACTTAACAAACTTGACATGACGTGAGGTGTAGATTTTGTTGGTTCAAGACATAGATACGCACTTTGGGTCAAAGAACACCCAATGAAAACACATGAGTTGGACCAAAGAGCAAGTTTGTGAAGAGAGTATGGACGGAGCTAGGGATAACACAAACACCCAAAGACCCAAAGTTTGGAATAATTTGGTGGAGAGTGAAAGAGAATGGCATAGGGGGATTGGAGACGAATGGTAGGAGTGGGTAACCGATTAATCAAATAAACAGCAGTAGCAAAGGCAGAAAACTAGTAGGTTAGTGGCATAGAAGCATGAGAGAACAGAGAAAGACCCGTTTCAAAAATATGACGATAACGATGTTCTGCATACCCATTTTGTTCTAGAGTATGAAGTGGAGAGGTTAGATAAGAAATGCCATGTGAAGTCAAAAATTGAGAAAGTGCTTAGTATTCTCCCAATTGTCAGAGTAAAGTGCGATAATGTTTCGATTAAAATTTACTTCCACAACTGCTTTTGAACCGGATAAAAACATCAAGAATATGTTATTTGCGCTTAAGGGGATAAAACTAGGTATATTTGGTGTAGTGATCAACAAATATAGCATAATATTTGAATCCATCAAATGAATGCACCGAGGAAGTCCACACATTAGAAAAATGAGAGACGAACTTGTAAATGGTAACTTATGACTTTTATTACATTGACAAGCATTACAATTAAAAGACCGGGATAGTGAATTCTACAAATCAGTTTAGAGCTAGAAATAATATGTCTAATAATTGAAATGGATGGATGACCTAGCTTATGATGCCACTTGGACGAAGTGGTCTTGATAGTGGAAAACACAACTAGCGGAGAGGACGGATTGTTGAAAACCAGCCATTCACAGACACCATTCTCAGAGCGGCCCTGTAGAAGTATTGCCCCCATTTGTAGATCCTTCACATGAAAGTAATTGGATAAGAATTCAATAGCATGGTTGTTATTACAACAAAATTGAGAAATAGAAATTAAATTCTTTTTCATAGAAGGCACACGAAGGACATTATGAAGGGAAAAAGTTTTAGTAGGTGTGGGTAAAGAGATATAATCAGTATGGGTGATCAGAAGACCTGTGCCATCACCAATCATGATGTCATCAGAATCATCATACGAAGTATGAAAAAAGAGATTACCCAGATCGATTATGACATTGTGTGATGCGCAGCTATAAAAATGCCGGCCAGGATTGGCAAAGGAAGAATTTGTTGCAACATGTGCACGTGGTTGCCAATGTGGTGTTGGGGAGAGTGTGGCCACTGTGTTTGCTGATGGATAATCGAAGAGGGAGTGGAAACAAAAACCAGTCTAAATAATGGGCACTGTTGGATGTTGTGGCCCTATACCTGGCAACCTGGCATTTTCCAAGGTAGGGATGGGAGGGACGGTGATCCGGCCAAGGTGATGAAGGTGCTGGCATGGTAGAAGACCAGACGAAGTGTGTTGCCAGAGGGACCTCTTGGAGTTGGGCCAAGAGACACCAGAATTGTTACGATGAGCAACATTTGCAGAAGCTGGAAGAAGTGATGTGGAGGACTGATGGAACCGTAAGGAGAGTTCCTTGTTGATCAGCTTCTCATGGAGTTTATTAAAAGAAATAGGAGTTTCACGACCTTCAATCACATCAATGATAAGTTTGTAGTCATCATCACGGCCGTTGAGAATTTTCTCAATTAAATCCTTATGATCCATGGGTTTTCTAAGAGCGGCCAATTCATGAGCACGTGTTTTGATAAATTGCTGGTAATCTGTGATTGTTTGAGAACCTTTAACAGCAGTTTTGAGTTGATCCTTAATTTGTTTAATGTGACTACGAGAGGGACGGGCATAGGAGTTTGCAAGTGTGGTCCAAGCATCACGTGTAGTCTTCGCTTGTTGAATAAGTGGAATGAGAGGTGGAGTGAGAAAGCCAACTAATGTAGCAAAGATCAATTTATCTTGGTGAACCCACGTGGAGAAATCTGGATTTGGGAAATTGACATTATTTTGCTTAATGGTAGGAGGAGGACATGGATGAGAACCATCAATAAATATGTAGAGGTGATACCCAATGAGAATAGCCTCAAGTTGTAGTTTCCACGAGAGATGGTGAGCATGAGTTTAATAATATTGGAGGCTGAGATGTTGATGACTGTCAATGGTTCAGTGGGCTCCTATTCGTTGAGGATAGTGATGGGTTGATTGTCGGCAGCCATGGAGGAAGACGAGATTGAAGGATTAAAAAGGGGGGGCAGCTGTTGTGGTGGAGAAAGCTAGTGCAGGTCAGAATTCCTACTCTGATACCATATAGTAGAATAGAGAATGGGAAGGAATATGGCATATCATTCCAATAAAACATCACTACACATACAGTTTACAAGACTCTGGCAATATGGTAAATGAAAATTACAAAGATTACACACGCACTGACTATGTTCTAATTGATAAAACTCTTAAGAATAAAAATGGAAGAATTACATAGAATGTCAAACTATCTCTAATAGTTTGTTGGAAGAAGTTCGTACAAGTGAGGCAGGTTTTTTAATATACGTTTAAGTAACGCCACTTTATGGAGGTTCATTTATATGTGTATATCGTGTAAATCCATAGAGGCAACTAAAGATGTATGCTTTATTATAGTATAATGCACTTTTTGAGCTTTGGTGACACTGTTTTCTATCATTTTCAGTGTAAGAGACGCGATTGGAAATATTAGTGTGATATCAACTTGACAATTTAGAGTCAACTTGCGCCTCTAGTTATAAAACTGGATTATCTAGCAATCCTTAATCAAGGAAAATACTCACACGGGTTGAAATGTACCTTTCAACATAATAGAAATCCAATCTCAATGCAAGATCATTTTGTCTTATTGTTCATATTATGAAAATCAAGAAACATTTAGAAGTACAAATTCCTAATTATTGATTCTAATTGTCCCTACAAAGTCGACGAGCTCAGGTGCAGTTTTTGATCATATGCAACGAAAGTTCTTGATGGCGCATCCCCTTTTCATACCGCATAAAATTTAAACCAAGACCAAGGAAACTAAGGCAAGTCCCATCACCAAAAAGACACTACCAGCAATCTTTGCTCCACCCTTGCTACTTGCTGCAGTTGTCTTGCTATCAGAACTTGACCCTGTCGAGGAAGAAGATGATGTAGAAGCAGAAGCCGGGGAAGAGCTTGATGTGCTTGAATCCACTCCCGCTACTTGAAATATCTTGGCATCAGGTGAATCTGCTGGGAGTTTGAGTATAGCTGCAATCACAAAAAAAATTATTATCAACTCATCAAACTGAGTGTCAAGTACTGTCTAATCCAGTATACCAAATATACAGTAGAAGTATATATATCTTACAAGGACAATCTGAGACTTTGGCATCTATATTGCATGCAGCAGGCATTTGGAGAGCTAAAGTGGTATTAATCGGAAGTCCCATCGAGGGGTCAGTGCTCTCTTTGATAAGAACACACAAGCATTTGGGTTTCGCAGTCCTAACTTTATCGGTGTCTTGGCAGCACTCAGGAGTAGGCTTCTTTGCTGTGCCGCTCACAAATGGTATGCACGCGGCAAGATTTGTTAGTTGTTCTGCACAATCTTTTTCATCATCTTCCATTGTAGCTGTTGCTACCATTGCCATTGTGCCCACTAAAATGCAAATGATAATAAACAGATTCTTCTTTCTGTTCATTTTTTCTTATATTTTCTACACTCTGAAAGCTGTTAAATCACTAAAGATTGTTTTTATAGGAAGAGCTTTGTTTGGTGTGTGTATATATAGAATTTATTACTTGAGGTATTTATTGTCTTCCCATACAGCACCATTAATAATCATTCAACGGTTTCCTGGTTGGGATTTGTGCAATAGCAGATAGAAATGATATGCCAAATATCGTTTTTATAAAAATATTTGAACTTGTGCAATTGCAAACCCTGTGATTAGCTTGAATTTGATGATTGTGTTAAATGAGAAATCTGCAGAAATGACATTTATTCACATCACTCCATCTGCAACAAAAGGGTAAAACGTTTTCGTTTTCACTTCTGTATTGAAACCCATCAGATTCAGGGTAGAAATTCTGCTAGGTGATGGCTTTACGTACCGAGCAACATAAGTTTAAATCGATTCATTCAAATAAAGTTAGCATATTTATAAATTGTAATCCAGTATTAAACATAAGCATGCCTGCCCACACAGCAGCAATGAATCAGAAAATTGATGCAATGCAGAAATGAAACTTAGATAACGCGCACCTTCATGTCTTCATTAAATGTAGGGTATGCTTTGAGAAATGAAATTGCATCTTCCAAGGCCAAATATGATCGGTTTCAACTTTCAATCAATAATCCACATCTGTCCCATTTTTACTTCTTTAGAAAGTAACGTTAGCAGAAGTGTGAATATGATTGTTGGAATAGAAGCAGGTCGTCCATATGAGTTGATCCAAGACTAGTTATTGACGTTACGCATTATCGTTACATTGATCAACCAAAATTTCGTAAATGATAGTTTAAGAATTTCACATTTGTAATTTCGATATTATCCTAATTTTTCTTATAAATAAGAAGCTTTTTTTAGGGTTTATGTAACCATTATAAAAAGGAGAGAGAGATGTTACAAAAAAATAGATTCAACATTTTTATCTTATAAACTTCTTTTTATCATACTGAATTACTACATTGATAAAAAAAAATTGACAGAGTTTCAAATTGAAGCGAACCACTATAAATCCCAAGTACTCTTATGTCTATTTTCTTTCCGAAATTTCATAACTCGATAGTATAGAATTACAAAATATTGGCATACATACATAGACAGACTCAACATGTTCTTTCTATAGAGAGCAACTTACACCTCTACAACGTCGACAAATAGATTTGGATACTCTTACAAATTCCCAATTAGCACTCTCAGCGCAAATCTATAAATAGGACCCCCAACAGTATCATAAGAATGTGAATCTATGAATAGGACTCCCAACAGTATATTAAGATTGATCTCTGCTATGCCCGTTTTAACATTATGATTCATTAGGGGTGGATGTTTGTGACTGAACGATACCCCCAAAAGCCTTTTATATAGGCTTGTTTATGGCCATTTGAACAAGGGTCCATAGAGTTCTAGCAAGTTGAAATGTGATTAATGTTCCATCCGAATTTCATTGTAAAGTTACAAGTTGATGTGAAATTTCCTCTAGCCATTCATATCTAAATTACTTCTAATCAACTCATACAGAATGATTCGGGACAAATAACATGTCATTCAAGCCAAAACTTGGTCCTTTTTGGAACTGAAGCTGGGGGGTGGGGAATATATCCCAAAAATACTTAAAAGAAGAGCTAAACAAGTCCACACTAACTTCAATAAAGGAAGAATAACAAGTCTTATTCCTTGAAGTCGTCTTTGTCATCGACTGGGTTTGGCATGTTCCTCCAGTAAACAGCAAGAGCACTTCCTCCTAGCTGCAAATTTCACATATGAAATGTACGTCGTATAAGTATACGTACGGAAACTATACCACTACTCTAGCAATGCTCAAATGAAAGGCACGTAAATATATACTTTAAGCGCCGAACCATACTCACCGCCATGCAGACAACGCTTACAGCAGAAGGCACGGCCACCAGAGGATTTGTGAAATGTTTTTGGGCCAGCAAAAATCCAAGTGCAGAGCTCTGTTAATAACAAAGAATAAACAATTAAAAGTCCATTCCAGAACATCCATGCACAAGTAACTAAGTTCGGGAGAAAATTAACATCAAAGATAAATGTTTACGTACTATTTCGAAATGTCATGCAAATTGTATTAAGCTCTACTAATAATACTTAACTGCACAAGCTACAAGAATCTAATATTGCATCGACTAAAATGTGTGAAGACCACTATTCTTTTAGAAAGAAATATAAAAATCAGTCAGCAAAATAATAGCAATGTTAACCAGATCACAAATATAACACCAAGAGAAGGTATTCAAATTATAACATTTTACATAAAAGTGCTATATTCCACAAATTCAGCATGAGTCCAGATTGATTCAGCATTTTCCATTCATGTACGAGAATGTTTCATATGTCTCACAGATTACTTTATTATAACATCAATACTCGTTCTCCTTGATGGCAGAGAAGAAGATCCATAAAAGAGCAAGCATCTAAAGCCATGAGATAACAAGATTCTCAAACCTCTTTCAACACCCTCCAAGCAGTAAAAGTTTTGAAAAATGAGATACAATTTGATGAATTGTGCTATACATGAAGAACATTAATCCAATTACATGTAGCTGGCAGAGTGCATCTCCAATTCTAGAAATAAACCATGTTGCAACACAAATAAACAAAATTTATGGACTCTAAGAGAAACAATGATGGGATATACCTGCATTCCACATTCTATAGAAATAGTACGAGAAGTTGATTCACCGAATGATATTTTTGAAATCCAATAACCAATAAAAAATGCTGCGGCGTGTAACAGGGCCACTGGGAATATTAATTGTGCCCCCTGAGTTTTCAGGACTTCTGAAACTTGCCCAATCTAATGACGGGAAAAACAAAGAAGCTCTACGTCAATATGTGCAAGAAGGTAGCAGGGAGCAACACTGTCTAATGTCTATAGAATAATACATAGATCCCATAGTTGTACATAATGAACTTACAGGACTCGCACATAGAAGGGTGGTCAGGATAACTCCAATTAAAGGTGTAACTGTAATTATTTTAGATGTGAACTTTGGAAAGAACTCGTTTGCTAACACTGCCAAAAAAGTAAGCATGTCAAGTGAGAGATCCAGGAGGTAAAAATTTAAGCTTATTTAACAACCAATAGAGATATTTTTGTCTAGAATAATAAAAGAACAGAAATTTAAATTTCTCAGGTTACCCCCAATAATTGTTGGCACTAACACAACCTGAAAAGTGCTTATTGCTAGACCCTGTAATACAAAAAAAGTGTGCAAGTGTTAATTGTTATGGAAGAAAATCCTCGATGCAAGCAAATTACAAGATATGAAAGTCAGATATGCATGGTGTCCTTGAGATTCTTGCTAGCAGAGTTATCTGATGCTCTATACACTAGTTTATATCTTAATATTGAGTATGGAGAATCTGACATCCCACAAGCAATTAAGTCACAGCTTACGTTTTTATTCTATTATCCAGTCTTGTGTATGCAAGCACAAGTTAATAGTTCTACTAGCTATATCTAGGATGCATACAAGTTGTTCAACTATGCAAAATTCACCGTTACATATTTGAGGAAAATCAATATGTAAGTCTTACAGCTGCATCAACTGGTACAAGCTGACCAGCAAGAAGCTTAGTGAGGAGCGGTGTCATCACAATAGCACCAATGGTTGAACAACTGCAAAAACAACAGAAATACCATGGTCATTCCAACTATATATCAACAACTTTTTCTAGCAAAGGATGCTTAAATATTAGACCCTGCCATTTAGATGTCGGCATATCTACTTTTAATGTTACATCCTGAATATTTGTGCAGGATTTCCTTTTCACACGTTTACTCTTTTCTTATTTGAGACATGAATTTAACACATCACAGTGAGTAGGTTAATTCTGTAACTGAGAATGAGCCATCCTCTTTACAGTAAGAATATAAAAAAGGTTTCAGTGTTTTCTAGGAAAATAGTTGGATCTTAGACCGTGTCAAAATATTTTATGAAATACTTCAACAACTTTATAAAACAGCTCTGCTACATAAAAATTTGTTATAATATATAGCCTCCGTTTGGATACAAATTTATAAATATGTTTATAAATTCAGTCAAAGTCACATTCATAAATGCCATTCATTATTATTCACATATTTCATGGGAACCATTACTATTCCTATTTATAGATTTGCCAAACAGAGGTATAATCTTTGAGGTTAGCTCGTAAAGCAACGGAATATTGCGGTTAATTCATGAGAGCCTCACAGATTTCTTAGGTCTTAGTTGTTCCAGCTCAAATATGCAATCAGATAAGTTATCCATGCGCCTAAGCATGCATTTTCCTAGTTACTATAAAGGAATGTGTTTGCAAAAGAAATTTCCGTAACAAAAAGTCGTCACTGCCAAAATTCAATTGCAAGAGGAAGTTTATTTGTATCTCGCAAAATAAAATTACCAATTCAAAATAGACTGATGATTTAATCTTTGCATTAAATGTCACGTTGACTGAATGCAGAAGATCCAAGGTATTTATCTATTTAGCGCCTTAACCCTGAAAATATGCTTGTAAGGAATCACTTTTCCTTCCTTCGTGAGAATTATCTAGGATCATTATGCTAAATATACAGAATTATACAGAATGTAGTTTAAAAAGGCTATACAGATTCATCATGTTCCAACAAGACAGTGAGAAAAAGGCTGTAAGTGAACTTACGTTGTCATGAGAACTGAGAGTGCAACATTACCCTTGGATATATATGTAGCAACATTTGATGCCTGGCCTCCAGGGCAGCATGAAACCAAAATAAGACCAGTTGCCAAAGGAGCCGACAATTTCAGAGTCTGTAGATCAGTGCAGAAACACTTAGCAATATTTCGAGGACAACATCTTGAAAAGCAAAATCAAACTTGAGGGACAAGAAAAGTATGGTGGTTATTGTAGAAGAATCAAGAAGCATGCTCAGTCATTGCAGCCCAGTAGGCAAGTCAGGACGAGAAAATACGAAGCCTCCGTTTGGGAAGAATTTTAAAACTGTTTAATTTATAAATAAATAAAAATGAGTGGTGGTTAAGTAGGCACTACTTGTGGGTATATTAGAATGTGCGGTTAAAAATGAAGTTTGACCATTTATAAAATATTTATAACCTTTGCCAAATGGAGACAAACTTCTGCCATTACGAGGAATAAAGAGAATATTTAGGTTTGCAACTTTAAGCCTCCGTTTGGCAAGCAATTTGTAAATGGTTTATAAATACAGTCAGAGCCAATTTCAACCACACATCCATAACTATGACTCGGTATCATCCATATATTTCGTGAAACCCACTAGTATTCATCTTACTATTCCTATTTAGAAACCATTTACAAATTTTCCAAGCAGCGGCTAAAGCATAACAAGGCTTCCTCAAGATATGAATTACTTTAGAAGACAATTATTAAGGCTACATTTTATATATAAGATGTTACTGTATTAGCTTTAGCAGAATAAAGTAGAACCACTCAGGCATTCATTCAATTATCTCCACTGCTATGGAGCTTTGAAATGCCTAAGACTTTTCAGACATCACATCAATATCAGGACTGGAGGAAAGCGATACTAGAACATCCTTTAAACCATCACAGTCAACTAATAGAATGTTCAGTCATAGTCCTATGAGTTCAATTATGATCGTACATGCAACTTGTAAATAAATAGTTACCAGTGTCAAGAGGATGAAGACTTACCATTGCAATAAAGAAGCCCAACATGGGCTTGATGATGTATTGTGCCAAAAATCCCACACCCACCTAAAAACACAAGCAACAATTTCTCTCAAATATATCGATGTAAGTATTCATATCCTCGATAGCAGCATTTCTTCTGCAATATATATAAATTACTACTTACAGTCCATGGGTTGCGCAAACATCTTCTGAAGTCCTCGAATGTAAGTGTCAATCCCATCGAAAGCATAAGGAAACCCAAACCAACAGTAAATAGGTCTGTTTCTAACCAAGTAACCTGCAAGACTCTGAGATTCAACTAATTGATAATTATTAAGTTTCAGCAGTTGCAACTGAAAGAACTTACCGCAGCAGGTTTGTAAATGCCAATAATGGTACCTAATATAACCTGCACAGAGTGAATAGAACTGATAAGTGAATCTTTCCATGACATAACTTCTTCCGAGGACGGCATAGAGGAAAAAAGGAACAAAATGAAATTTTACTGTTGCAACAAAATTGAATGAACATACCCACACTGGAAAGAGAGTTGTCAATGTTTCAATTATTCTCTCATATTGGCTCAATGGGCTTGATGATGTATTGTGCCAAAAATCCCACACCCACCTAAAAACACAAGCAACAATTTCTCTCAAATATATCGATGTAAGTATTCATATCCTCGATAGCAGCATTTCTTCTGCAATATATATAAATTACTACTTACAGTCCATGGGTTGCGCAAACATCTTCTGAAGTCCTCGAATGTAAGTGTCAATCCCATCGAAAGCATAAGGAAACCCAAACCAACAGTAAATAGGTCTGTTTCTAACCAAGTAACCTGCAAGACTCTGAGATTCAACTAATTGATAATTATTCAAGTTTCAGCAGTTGCAACTGAAAGAACTTACCGCAACAGGTTTGTAAATGCCAATAATGGTACCTAATATAACCTGCACAGAGTGAATAGAACTGATAAGTGAATCTTTCCATGACATAACTTCTTCCGAGGACGGCATAGAGGAAAAAAGGAACAAAATGAAATTTTACTGTTGCAACAAAATTGAATGAACATACCCACACTGGAAAGAGAGTTGTCAATGTTTCAATTATTCTCTCATATTGGCTCATTTTACTAGTATTGTTGGTAAAATCTCCAGAGGTGGCCGCCTTGCAACAAACACTTGAATTCCTAATCATAGTCATAAACAGTTGTGATTGCCATACCCTAAATGAATAGCTGAAAACGTAAAAGAAAGAAAGTATTTTGACATATTCCCTTCATCATCAACTACAAGGGACAAAAGCAATGTCTTGGGAATAGGATTAACACCGAGGTAAGATAAATGTTTCTAACATATTTGTTGTGATCTTGACCAGCAGTTTCCATTTAAAATAGGAGCAAAAAACGACAGAAAATCTCCATAACAAAATGTACTAGCAAAAGGCTAACAATGTCGGGAGAGTAACATGAGAAACGTTAAAAGAAGAAAGAAAAAAAATGACAGCTGAAGGTGGCCTAGAGCTTGTAGTTTTTTCCCTTCATTCTCGTGTTATTTTAAGTAGGATTCACACTATTCAACATATCAAAGAAAAACAAGGAGAAACCTGAACTACCCAAAAAAAAAAAGTTTCTCAAGGGACACGAAGTTTTCTACTTTCAACATGAATTTAAAAATGCCATAATTTCTTGGAAAAATAAAACTCTTTTTATGTATAAACCTCCACGATTTTCCCAAATCTGATGACTTTCCTTCGTTCTTTTTTCAAACTTGTAATACAACCAGACAAAAAAAAAAAAAAAAAAAAAGCTCCCTGTTTTTTGCTCTTTCCTCCAATTTTATGTTTTAGAAAACAGTGATTTGAGATGCTGGTAAAAGAGGGGAAAATATTTCGGGAAAAAACTCTATATTGTTATGGTATTTTTCCATTGTTATGGTATTTTCCCAGTAGAGGAAAGGTTAGGTTCCTCAACAAAAAATAAAAAATTGATTTCTCCTTTCAAAGTGTTTGGGTGTAACGCTTTGCACATGAATGGAAGAAGCAGTGTCAAGAGAACAAAGCTACTCTACGCACATTTTTTGGATTATGAAGATTCAAATTTTGTCACATTCTATAGCATCTGGTCAACAATAAGACTGAGAAGCACATAGCTCTCTCCACCTAAAAAACTTTGAGATGCCACCACAATTGATAGTCAATGCTCCTGAATTGGTTCCGCACTTCTACTACGTTACAAAGGTTTTTAGGTTGTGGAGATGTTTAGAGAAATGTTACAAAGGTTTTTAGGTTGTGGTGATGTTCTGGATGTCGTCATGTGCCACGTACAACGAGCAAGAACGGGCAAAGTGCTGTCTATGAAGCACAGAAATGTCAGCCAGGAGCACTGTCCATTACCCAGGTATCATCAGACTGTATGTTACTTACTGATAAAGAGGTGTCACGAGATCATTCTTAAGGCCTCAAATTAAGACACTCTAACATCATTATAGTTTTCATTTTGAAGTCCTTCAAGTATAAAAAGAACGGTTACATATTGTCTTTGGTGACTTTTAGAGAAGTACAATGATCAAGGAATAAAGAGAGCTTTCAACAGAGCAATGTGCATGAAATTATGGGGACAAGTTATCCTGGTAAAAAATCTCCAAAATATCAGGTGTCTTCTTTTATCTTATCATTAAAAAAATAATAAAAAAAAAATCAGGGTAGGGCCTTTCTTCTGCTCTTTTGTCTTTTTTTTTTTTTTTTTTTTTTACGTAATTATTTTCATGTATCTTGTTTGCAGTCGATTGGTTTTGTGTTTACCTTTGCTTACTTATTTAGGCTTGATTTTTTTTACTTCCTGAACGTGTCTGTTTTGATAACATTTGGTCCATTAGGCAACTAATTGAGCTTACAAATTTATCTGTTTAATATCCATGTTATTGGATCAAGATCTCCAAGTTAATATATAGCAAATTTTCCCCCAAAGAAATTTTTGGCTATTCCCTGGATGCTCTTTCCCATTTAATGCAATAATAAACCAACATGAAGAAAAAATAAAATTAGCTTGTTATCTTCTCTTAAGCATAACCATACCTTGAAGCAGATGATTTTACAAATGTCATAGGCACTGAGACAGCAGTAATAGAATTCTGGTGTTTACTATGAATAGCCAAATTACTTCTGTTACCCTCGGATGCAATAAGCTCACCCCTGAAATCTAAAAATCAACAAAATAATTAATCTATCAATTTAAAATCAAAATTTCAAAAGAGCCCACAAGACTGAAGCTCCTGAAGACCCCCAAAAATTGAAATAGGATATTAAAAAACTACACGTACTCTGAAAGCTCTGTCGTCTTCCGACTGAAAGATCACAGCTTGGCTTAGGAAGAGCGTAATATTGCTGCAAACTACAATCTTTACTAACGAATCTTGAAATTGTAGCCATTGGTAATACAATTCGGAAGAAGATAATGGGATTTTTGGTTTAAGTTCAATTCAGGTTTAAGCAAGGGTTTTGGAGCTGTAAAATTCGACTTTGGGGTATGGGAAAATTACTGGGTTCCAGGGTGGACAAGATGATAGAATTCTGAGGAGCCTTGAATCGTCCTCGACCACAAATTACACGAAGGGGCTCATTCAAATGTTTCGCAAATTGCATTATTGCAAATGTGAAAGCTCCACCAACGTCAAAATGAAGAAGGGGATTGTTGTATCCGTTGTCATGTTATGCTTCTGATTGTCTATTCCTCGAAAATGGGGAGATTTTTTTATTTGGCATAATTTTATATCATTTTAATTTATTCATAGAAAACTCTATCATGTCCTGAAAGAAATAACTCTTCTTATATTGTAATATATATCCCAATCTTTTTAAACTATCTTTATCTTATTTTTATTCTATTATGGATTTCAGTATATAGGTTCATTCTATTATCTAATATATTGGAATAATTTACAACATATTGTTTATATTTTTTATTAAGTATATTATATTCTTCAGATGATACATTTATATTTTTTAATTGAGAAATAATATTTTCTATTTATTCTAACATTCTTTCTAATAGATTATCTAATCCTTCAAATATATATTCTGACATTTAATCATACAAATAATCCCTACGATTCTCTAAGATCTTAAAAAGATTCGTTCAAATTTTAGCAAAAATTAATAGTCTTACCTTAGTTCTCATCCGAATCTTTATTTTTAGAACCAAGTGACCTCCAAACTCTGAATATATAAATTGTTTCCTTGAACGACCTCTTGCTCTTTCAACTTCTTGCTCTCGATATATCAATTCTAAAGAATAAATCTCTAGATTTCAATTAAAGAAAAACTCTATTTTTGCTAAAATACGAAAGAAACTTTCTATTAGATTCTTCAAGAATCTGTGGGAAAAAGATTTAGAGCCTGTTTGGGAGTGATTTTGAGAATTGATTTTTTGACCGTTAGGAAAAAAGTGGGGTCCACTTGTGAGAGAAAAAGTCAAATATGATGGCTGGAATAGTGAAATAACGGTCAAAAAATCAATTTTTTGGGTGAAAAAATGGGTCCAAACAGGCCCTTAGAAACTCATATTGATATCAAAATATAGGAATTTTACTTCTGTAGAGATTTATACAATATTTCTATTTGATACAAAAGGATTTTCAGAAAAACTAGTTTTTCAAATCGAGGATGGCTTGAGAGTAACTATTGATTACAATTCGAGATTTCAAGATATCTCTATCCTTTCCTCATGCCTCTATTTATACATACAAATGAAGCTCTTAGTATTGATCTAATTACATCATTGCATATATCAGCTATATCAAAAGGCACTCTTGCTTTTCTATTATTTTCCTTTTCGGGCCTACATCTTCACATGCAGCTTTATTATTGTCCTCATTTGACATGCAGCTTTATCGAAGGTGCTCTATTATCGTCCTATTTTCTTTATTTCTTCTCATGCAGTTGAAACAATCTCTTAGCTGGCAAGATTCTTTGATAGTAGTAGGACATCCTGAAAATTGATGTATGTCGAATTTTGTAATATAGTCCTTTAAGATTTTTTATTTTCTATGTTTTCCATTTGAAACTAGCATTCAATTTTGATATTGACATGAATATGACAATTTTTAATCATACAAATTTTTAGCAATATTGTATATGGCTTTGATTCCAAGTGCTCTTCTATACTTGATCCATGACTTGGTGACCTTTGGAACCTTTTTATCATTTTCTATAACATCTATTTCAAAATTGGCTACAACATATCCAATTGAGATTATGTGTTCAACTGCATAATAAACAATTTCATCATATTCAGAACTTATTGAATAAAATTTCAAATATATTCTTCGTCCCTTGAAAAATCTTGATACTTCTTTTATGAATATGCCATCCAATTTCAAAATTTCAATCAAATTTTTTCCTGGATATATCAAATCCAGAAATCCATAATCTGCAATAATCTTTATGAATGAAGGGTCTCCTCCTTCCATGACTGTTACTCTAGGATAAACATTATTTTTTGGAGAAATGAAATGTGAATCATTTTTTTTATTTCATAAACGATTTTGACTATTTTGGCATATTCTTCTTGTTTTGGATCTAAAAGGATCATATTATCTTAGTCCTAGTCTATGAAACTGATAGTTTTGAAATCTTTTTTTATCTCCATGTATCACTACTTTTTTAGTTGATGTTGAATCTCTTTTTTATCAATAGTATGGTGTCACGTCTGGGTTCACTGCTACTTTCAATTGTCCCTATTTGATATTGATTTGGAAAACTTATTTCTGAGCTCTTTGGCATATCTGTCTCAGACAGTATATCTTTTAGTTGTGTTGCAATAGTATCAACTTGATTTTTTAGTTCTATGGCCTCTTTATGATGCTTAGTAGTGATATTCATCAATTTTTTTATATTTGAGTTGAACATCCCTGAGATCTGTGTTGCACCAGTATTTATGTTTTCAAATTCTTCTTCAAGAAAACCTGTCCTTTTTTATATATGTAGGATATATTGGTATAAATCCATGACTTTGACTTTATCCATCAGCAAATTCTATATTTTTGCTGGGAAAATCTGCAAGAAAATTAACTCCTTCAATATGAACTATATTAAAATTATAAAATGCTAAATAAGCTTGCCATCTATGTAGTCTTCTATATTGAAGTTCTAATGATAGTTTATTCCTGACTAATCCTACAACTTGAGAATCATCAGTTTCAACTATGAATTTTTTAGATAACAAAAATAATTAGAACTTTTTTATTTTTCTAATAATTGCTAGTAATAATTTTTCATGAATAGTATAATTTATTTCTACTTGATTAAAAGTTCCACTTGAATATCTACAAATCTCATTTAAATCTGTTTTTAATATTGTTGCCTAATATTTATCTAAGGCATCGGTGTTAACAATCAAATTATCTTTTTCATCTGGTAATCCTAATTTTGGTAAATTTTTACATTCTTCTTTTAATAATTTAACTATTTTTTTATGTTCTTCATTCTATCTTTTAGTATTTTTTTTCTAAGTATGTATTTTATGCATTTTCTTAGAAAGATTTTCAATAAATCATTCTGTATAATTTAAACATCCAAAAAAATTTTGTATTTGTTCTTTGGATTCTAATTTATCTCATAAACTTTATATCTTTTTAGATATATGATTTTGCAATTTTATTCCCCTTTTATCTATTAATAATTCAAGAAAGTCTATTTCTTGTATTTTCTATTATAGATTTCTTTTTAAAAAGTACAATTCTTTCTTTTTTACATTCATTTATAAATTGTAATAAATGATTTCTATGTTCTTCTTTACTATTGGAACATATTTAATGTGATCCAAGAGCCGAGCCAGATGAAGGCGACTGCGGGACAAGATCCGTTGATAATTGAAGGCGGACCGATGATGCAATCTAGGGCAAAGGAAGTGAAACAAGCGATGAGATTGCTCGTTCAAGAAATCATTGGTGGGACGATGTTCGGGACTCAAAATATGACAAGTTTCATGTTTGGATCGAAAGCCGAAGTGAAATGGATCAACGCGTTACAAGCTGCCGAAGAAGAAGATGAACCGCAAAACCATGCGGCCATACCCCTTTAATGGCTTGTGGTCGCACAGCCATAGTCAAAGAATTCGTTGGGAATTTCTGGGTCTACCATGCCACCACATGGAAAACAACCATGCGGCCGCATGGTTATAAAATTTGACGCGTTTTTAATTTTCCGCGAATTTCCTTATTTTGTTAGAATTTGATACCAATTAGACTTCTTTTCATATTTTGATGATTTTGCATGATTTTAGCTAGGTTTTTTTAGCTTTAGTATAAATACTCTTTCCATTACATTGTGCAGTAACTTTTGGCAATTATTATTGAATTCAAGAGAGACTTTTGCTTTCTTCCAATTTGTTCTTCTTTGAACAATAATTTAGAACTTATCAAGGATAATTCCTTGTGGCGTTTAACACTGGATCGTGGGTTCTTCAATTTGTAAACAAGGGGTCCATCGCATCACCGTTATCTTTAGGTTCTTTGTTTCATTTTGTTGGGTTCATTCCAAACTGGTTATCAATTGGCATTCTTAAGTTTCGCATCAATTTAGTTGAGGGTTTCGTAGTCTAAGTTGCTACGGAGTTCACATCAATTGGTATCAGAGCTTTGGTTCCAATTTAATTAAGTTCTATCTTTAATTTTCTTGTTAGGTCATAGTTTTATTTGATTTCCAATTTCCTTCCTTGTTCTTGAATCGTTCTTCAATTGATTCATTCAATCTATATTTCTCGATGGTAGTGTAATCTCTTGAATTAGTTAAAAAAAAAAGGTTACTGTACATCCGGATAAAAAAAATTACTGTTCACGTCAAAAAAAATTATTATTATTTTATTATTTACTTGATTTGCTACCAACAAGTTTATATTCAAATTCCTAAATTCCAAAGTTCTCTTTCAATTCGTCAATTTCGTCAATTGTTCCGTTGAAATTTTATTGAGTCCATTCAAATTTCATTTTATTTGTTTTCAACCCCTTGCAAATTATTCTCTTGACTTACGTTTCGAGTTGAATCTGCAAGTTTTAATCTGGTGACTTCATTATTGTTTTTGGAAGCACTTGGTGGAAGCATTGAGTTGTAAAAGGCAGAATGGTGAGCTTATTAGAGGGTAAAAGTCAATTGTGTGATTCCAAGTAAAATTTGGTGAGGCAGAAATTGAGAGAATGTTTGAACAAGAAGGTTCCAACTCAAGCCGACACGACTATCACAACAGAAATCGGAGGATTTGATACAGCAGTTTGAACTTGCTTTTGGGATTGTTAGAGATAGGCTAGGTCAACAGGATGTTTGGAGGGCTAAGCAGGAAGCTTGGATGATAAGGATGGATACATCGGTGGCTAATCTTAGTACGGAGCCGCTGGTAGAAGTATCTAATGCCAGCAGGCCGGGTAGGCGGGAGCATAGGATGGAACGGGAAGCAATTGATCTGAGCAGTGAATGGGATGATAAGGCGTATGGAGAAGTACGGATGGGACAGATGAAGAATAGAGGTGGTAGGCCTGAACGACGGGTTAGGAATAATCACGGAGATGAGGCGGATGGGGACATGGGCAATATCAAAATGTCCATTCCATAATTTAAGGGGAGGAGTGACCCAGAGGCGTACTTGGAGTGGGAAAAGAAGGTGGAATTAATTTTTGAGTGCTATAATTATTCGAAGGAGAAGAAAATGAAGTTAGCGGTGTTAGAGTTCATTGATTACACAATAACCT